CAATACTTGTATTGAACCATATACTCTACTTAATGGTTACCCTCCCATCTCTGAAAACCCTTCCTTTTGTGGACAATCCATGGTTGGAAAACTGCTGACCTAATTCACATTGATGGCATCCACTTTAATGGTTCAATGTTAGCCAGAGAGACAATGATGCTTCTGCATAATTTGGTTCCCTGTCTCCATGTTCTGTGTTGCTCATGCATACAAAATGGGGGATTTAGGTACTGGCCTTGGACACACCTATCCAATTGCATAGCATCTGGATGCAATGAAATCCAAATTTTCATAGCATCGCATGTACCTCTGTGGTTTCTGGAGCTCTCAGATCATGTATTTCCATTAGCACTAAGTTAATTAAAGAACAAAGTTAACTGAACTTTTCTTGATGCCACTCAGCTGAGATGCTAACCCACTCAAGGCCCCAGTTTCCTCAGCTGTAAAATGGGGAGGAGGGAAAGGGATTCCTTCCAAATTGGAATCTTCTAACTCCACTCTCAGGCAGCCATGGAATCTCTTTCTGTTTTAGAAACATGCCGACATCTTTTTTTTTTTTTTTAGTTAGGACTTGTGACCAACTGCTAGGGCTTTCACCTCCCTCTAAGGTTACTTTCCATCCACTTTGCAAGTCTTCCGTATATTCCTATATATGTACATGTTGTCTCCCTCGTTAGAATGTAAAATCCCTTGAGGGCTGAGACAGTTTTTCCCTTTTAAAAAATGATTCCCCAGCCTTTGGCATATAATAAGGCCTTAGTAACTTCTCCATGGATTGCTTTCATCTCCAAGTGTAGAAGGTTGGCAGTTGGTTGGACATGTACAATCTTAGAGACTTGCCTGGGACACTAAGGGGTTAACTGACTTGCCCAGGGACACATCGCCAGTATGTGGTGGCAGTGGTGCTTGAATCCAGGTCTTCCCATCTCAAAGGGTGGCTCTCTAGTCACTCCACCATCCTATTACAGTCAGACAGATAGATGGGATGAGGAGAGTAGGAGGTCAACTATATAATAACAGTATTGGAAATGGCAAAAGGAGAAAGCTGCCTCTAAAGATTAAAGAAATGAACCAGAAATCACGGGAGCTGGGTCAGAAGGGCTCCATTTTGAATCCATTAGCTTTCAGGGTTTTTGAGAATAGTTGTTTGGAATTGGCTTTGATTTTAAAGGTCTTGTCAGGTATAATTTTCTTACGATTGAAAAACAATTATTTTAAATTTTATGTTGATTTTGCTTTTTGATAAGTATACTTTGGTAATTTACCAGAGTGCATGTTTTAAGAAGTTGTTCTATGTATGTTACTGGCTTTTCATCTTTAACAACATGGCTCAAAAGTCACTGCGTGTCTATACGTCTGCTTTCTTTTCTCTGTGGCCCTTAATGTAAGTCTTAGATTCTAAATGATCACATTTTTTTGTGCATTAATAAACATTCACACACCATAATTTGTTCATACTAAAGATTTTTTTCTACCAAACTTCTGACCTTTAAGTAACAGTTGACCAGTTCAAGCATTTCAAAATGTCTAGCACACAGTTAAGGAAAAAAAAAAATCTGTTTCCAGGGTCAAGTGTTGCAGTAGTATCAACAAAATTGTCAAACACTCAAGAGGTGAACCTCCAGCCTGGGAGATCCTTGGTGGAGAGTTCCTGGGAACACATGAGTGGCATAAAATGGAAGAACTCACATCTATGAGATCCCAGGGGCATCGAAGCATCACAGTAAGGGAGCACATAGTTTACCTGCGTGGGTGTTTCAAATGAATGTTTATTTTCTATCCAAAGGACATAAACTGACCTTTACATTTGAAAGGGGAAAATCTGGTTAAATACTACCCCCCTCTACTCACCTTCATGAACTGTGTACCTAAATTTGAGCCAACCTAGATTATTTGCTGTTCCCCAAACAAGTCCCATGGCCCACATCAGAACTTGGACTAAGGGGGAGGCAGCTGTCTAGGATACACCACACTGCAGGGTGGGGGTCAGAAGATGACATTTTAAATATAATTTTTTATAAATGCCCCTAATTTTAATGCCAGAAACTCCGCTTTGGCCAGCATGTATTTTTGTGTTCGTACATAAGATAAGCAAAGTACCAGTGAAGGCTAAAAGCCACTGGTGGAGAGTAGCACACCCAGTAAAGATGCCTTGTTCCCCCTGGGCCCCATTCAGCTCCAGGTCCGTGCCTTCACTCATGCTGTTTCCTGCCTCTGGAATGCCCTCTTTCCAGCTCTCTCTACTGAAATTTCTCTTATCCCTCAAAGCCCAGCTTAAATGCTACCTTCTCCATGAATCCTCACTTGATCCCCTTGGTAGCAAGATATTTCTCCTACTGCTGAACTCTCATAGTATTTTGATTAAAATGCTTATTCCCCTTACTTTGGGTTATATTCAATTGGAGATTTGTTGTAAGCTCCTTGTGCGCAAGGATAATGCCTTTTTCATTTTTCTTTCCCCACTCGGTGACTAGCAGGGAGCCCTGCACATAGTAGGCATTCAGTAAATGAATGGATATAGCTGAGTCATCATTGATATCACATAATAGACTCTTCTGTGTGTCAATCTTTTTGCCTGCTAAGTTGTCAGGTATTATTAAACTCTCTGGAGTCTAGTGTTCTCTTAGCCAATCAATCATCCAACGTGTATATGCCCAGCAGTGTTTTTAGGGACTGTGGAACATAACCAAGTGATCACCCTCCTGGAGCTTGCCATTACTTGGAAACCTCTGAACTGGTCCCCCATGCCTGGAATGCACTTCCTCCTCTCCTCTGGCTCAGACAGCACCCAATCCATAAGATCTTTTCTGATCTCCTGTTTCATTTCTGTATTTGTATTGCCAGTGCCTAGCACAGTACTCTGCTGGGCACCAGTTGGTGTTAAGTAATTGGGATTAATGTACGTGATTAATGTACATAAAAGAAATATAGGGCAATTATGTGCCAATCCTGCACTAGGGACTCAGAGTAAAAGAGATACAGAAAGAAGGGAATCTTCAGCCTAGGCTGGCATGGCCGTAATCCAGAAGACTTCGTGGAGGAGATAAGGCTTAGATTTGGCCTTGAAGGGTAGGTATTTGGACAGGCTGGGAAAGGGATCAAATGAAATAATATTATGTCTAGGATACTAGACAGGATAATATAAGGGCTCAGCACAGTGGCTCACACACAGTTGATGCTTAATAATTGCTTATTCCGTTCCATTCCAAAGGAAGAGTATATCAAGTGTGGTCCAAACAGCATAGGGTATGAAAAGAATGCATGCCTAAGTGTGTGTGTGTGTGTGTGTGTGTGTGTGTGTGTGTGTGTGTGTGTGTGTGTGTGTGATGGTTGGTGAAAACAGCCAAACTGGAGTGGAGGGTTTCTGTTGGGGAGTAGTGGTGAGACAGGTTGGATTGTCTAGGTGTCCCTAGATTATGGAAGGCTCTTTGGGCTTGTTAGGCATCAATCCACATTCTCTAACTAGCTCTTCCATACCTTTAGGCAGTATAGTATAGTGTAATGACCACTAAGCTTATAGCCAGAAGACTTCGTTTGAATCCTGGTTTCTGGTAGCTACTGTGGGATTCAGGGCAAGTCATGTGATTTATTTCTCTGAGCCTCATTTTGCTCCTCTATACAATGAGGGTAAAAATACTTAGCTTACACAGCTCATAAGGTCATTATGGGGAAAGGCACATTGTGGATCTTCAAGCACCATAGAAATGAACGTTATTTACCAGAGTAACAGACTTGATTTCAAGAAGGGTGGATCCTCAGACCCTGGAAAATCCTGAAGGATTTCCTGAATCATCACAGCAGGAGGATACTCCATTCAGCCTAATCAATGTTTATGTGAAGTCTATTACACTCTGTCTCTCTGAAAATTGGGAATGCATGTATAAAATGTGTGAATTCTTGATTACTAGAACCAGCCTTACTGGTCAGCAATTTTCTGCACTATCACTGGGGATCTACGGATATCATGACTGGCCAGGTGGTTGGACTGGATGACCTCCTAGCTCCCTCCCAACTCTGCTAAATGCCACAGTTGGCTTGATGGTATGCCGAAGGCATGAGCAAACAATTCATACTTGACTAATGCTAAGGAGTGACAAATTGGGGGCAGCTATGGTCATTTCTCCACCTAGAAGGCCCCATGCTTGACATAGAATGTTGATACCCTTTAGAACATACACTGTCAGAGCTGGATGGCACCTTAGGACACAGACTATCAGGGTGGCAAGGACCTAGAAAGGAAACATCTCAGAAAATGTCAAAGCTGAAAGGGATCTTAGGACAGAGACAATCAGAGCTAGATGGAATGATAGAAACAGAATGCCAGAGCTGGGAGGAAACATAGAATAGAGATTTTCAGAGTGGGCAGGAACCTTGGGACATAGAATATCAGGGTGGCAAGGACCCTAGAACATAGAATGTCAGCCGGAAGGACTCTTAGGACGGAATGTCAGAGCTGGGATGGACTTAGAACAAATAATGTCAAACCTAGAAGAGACACTAGAATGCCAGAGTCAGAATACCCTAAAATATAGAATATCAGCTCTAAGAGGGACCTTAGAACAGTGAATGTCTGAGCTGGGAGGGAACTTAAGCCACAGAGAGTCAGGGGAAGAAGCAACCTTAGTGCCTTGAATGTCAGAGTTGGAAAGAACCCCAGAGCTCGTCTGGTGGGCTTTTCAGGGTATTGTACCATTGGAAAGGAGATTGAAATAAAATGTATCCAATGTGTTCAGTCAGAGCTTCTTTCATAACCTTTCCCACTATTATCATTTCATTTCTCAGGAAGGGCCACCCAGCAGGATTTTTTTTTGGAAACAGAATGGAGGAACAGACAACACTTTAGCATGAGTTTACCTGTGAGGATTATATTTTTCAGACACGACCAAACTTTTTTTTTTCTAAAGTACAAAGCTTTTACTGTAACATAAAAACCAATGTAAACATTTCCTTAATATTCCTGTCAACATGCCACTAAAAAAGGAAAATCTAGAAAACAATAATACAGCTTATAGTGAATTTTCACTCAAATGCATTTAATGGAATGTACTCTTTCTCAAAGGTACATACACACTGGCATGTATATTTATATACATAAATATATACAATTAAAAATAAAATGAAAGAAAAGATTTTTAAAATTTTCTTTTGAAATTTCTTGTATTAAATTTTAATCCCAGTAATAGGCATATACAGCTATCACATAACCTATTCCTCAGCAAATCAGTTTAATTAACCCTGGCCACCCAAGGGTTACTGTTTGGCCCCTTGAAGAGGGCCTATGGATGGCCTTATTTTCTGCAAACAGAACCCCCACTAACATTCCACTGTGGAGGGAGGGAGAGAGAGGGGGAGGGGGGAGAGGGAAAGAGAAAGACACTTTGACCAAAAGAGATTTGGCCTTTGACTAAAGAGATTTCCTTTGGGCTGCAATTGTCTCCCTGTAAGGGGCCACATGTTGAGAGGAGCCATTGCTGTGTCTTATACGACTCTGGCCCTTGGACGTCTTCTCTTCAGACCACGTAAGCACTCTCTGCAATCAATGACCATTGGCAGTGCTCTTACCATTGTGAAAAAGTTCAGGAGGTTCTTTGTGTTGTCCTTATCCGATGGGATTCATGCAAAGGTGAATTTTGGGGTGGTAGCTAAGCGTTAAGTGCCAACCTAAGATACTGAAGGCTCAATCACTACCCTATGCAAGGCCATCATTTGAAGAATTGTTTATTATGCTTTTTAGGCTAATATTCATTTGTAAAGTGTAGGCACAAACAGTAACAATCCTATGCAGAATTTAGTTTTTGGCAGTGAACTTAATTTTGCCATCTCAGGAGTCGTTAGGATCTATGACAACATGGATGGAGAAATTAAGCAAATTTTGCAGGCGTAAATATCCAGATGCAGGTTGTTTACATTTTGTGACATATACATCTATTTCTCTCTCTCTCTCTCTCTCTCTCTCTCTCTCTCTCTCTCTCTCTCTCTCTCTCTCTCTGTGGTTATAGCAAGTAATTATTTGGCTAGCTCCTCTCATTGACATAAGAGAGATTTCTACTTTGGGGGTGACCCTATTCTTTGCATAATTCATCCACCTTTTCGTGGAAGGAGATCTTCTTCTTGGATACATAGGTCATGCTAGACAGGGAATGCTTTCTAAATGTGGACAGCCTCTGCCTGAAGTTACCCCCTGAAAAGAAATAGAGGAGTGGGTCAAAGCAACAATTTGATGCTGCTAGAGACAAGGTTATGACCACTGACTTCTGCATGGCAAGGACAGACTCACAGTTTTTATTTTCATTGTTCAAAAAGTGAAGGTGGATTGTGCGTTGAATGTGATAAGGCAAGAAACTGATCAAAAAGGCGGCTGTTACAACAATGATCATCCCTACAGCCTTCTTACGGCTTGGCAGATTTTTCTTCATTGAATTCTTTAATAAGGTCAAGATGATCATAGTGTAACAGACAATTATGGTAACAAATGGAATGATGAAGCCAAAGAATAATGAGACATAGTGTAAAGCCATCACTGTTTTCTTGCTCTTTGGGTCCTGTGGGGGTTCAAAGCACTTGGTGTTATTCCCGTCTTTATAGGTTTTGCTCATCAGAAAAAAGGGTGAGCTGGTCAGGATAACAAAAATCCAAATGGCTGCACTCACAACCCTGGCTTTTTTCTGGGTCACAAGGTTGATGTTTTGGACTGGGAATACTATGGCTACACAACGGAAAAAGCTCATGGCGGTCATAAAGAAGATGCTACAATAGAGGTTGACATACAAAGCATATGTACTGAGGCGGCACAAGAAGTCTCCTAAGAACCAGATGCCCCGGTGAACGTAATAAACCACCCGGAAAGGCAGCGTACACACACAGAGCAGGTCGGCCACAGCCAGGTTCACCATGTATACTTGGAAGGCTGATTTCTCATGGTATGTCCTGATGAGAACATAGAGCACAAAACCATTGCCGAAGAAGCCGACTACGGACACCATCGAGTACACAGTGGAGTATACTTGGTTGCGGAAGTCATCGATAGTGGAGAGGCAGCTGACGTTGTCCCCAGGCCTTGTCATATTTCCTACACCGTCCATGGTTCTCTGGGAATGTCCTCTTGGCACCTAGCATATAAAGATGAAACCATCATGTCCATTTTTATGAGGCCATCAATTACAGGAAGTTCTCATGTTCCACTTCATAACTTCATCATGTATCATGCTAAAGCCAGGATAGGCAGTCTTTTTTTTTCCGACCAAGGGATACTTCACTCACAGGAAAAAAATCAAGCAAGGGACACATGCAAGGAAAAAGGAGCTTAATTTAGAATCACAGAAGATGAGAGCTGGAAGGACCTCTGAGGTCAACTAGCCCAACCCTCATTTGACAGAGGAGAGAGCTAAAGTCAGTGTTTGTCTGGTAGGTTTGCTTTTTTTCTGAGAGAGGCACATATATGTTAAAGATTAAACTCCCTGATTTTAAAATTGAGAACAGAGAAAGGCATTCCCCACAATCCACTGAATATCTCCACCTGGATGTCTCACCCACACTTCCAACTGCAAACATCCCGGACTGAAATTCACCCTTGTCCCTTTGACCCCTGCTCTTCCTTCTGACCTCCCTCTCTTTGTTCATGGATTCCCGGGCTACACACCGTGGTGTCTTTTTGGACATCTTCCTCTCCCTAGCCTCCCATGTACAACAAGTTGCTCAGTCTTCTGGATCTGGTCACCTTCCTGGTCAATCTCCCTTTCTTTTCCCTTCCCACTGTTTCTATCCTAGTTAAGTCCTCATGCCTCCTAACCAGACTCCTGGCCTCCAGCAGCCCTCTCCTCTAAGCCATACCAATATGCTGCCAGGTTAATTTTCCTAAAACAAAACTCAGATTATGTTGTTTCCCCCACTCCCAAAAGAAAACCCAAATCACAGCCTTGAATCTTTCTACCCCCATCCTCCCCCAAATTCTAAATCCTCAGGCAGGTGGGCATCAAAGGCCTTCCACATTCTGCTCCAGACACACTGCTGCCTCCTGAACCCTAGCCTACCTCAGTGCTTTTGCTCATGCTTTTCTCTGTTAGGATCCCCTTGCCCTCATCTCTGCCTATCAACATTTTACCCATCTTCAAGGATAAATGGCATCCTGTCCATGCTGTTTGTCCTAATGGGCCTGGTCAAAAGGATCCTCCTCCCCCTTCCAACTCCTGCCATCCTTACTTTCTCCTTTTCTTACTGCTCCTACCACATTCTACCTTGGATGACCATTCTTGGCACTAATTTTGCCTTTCATACTCTGTGTATGTCATGTAGCAAGGAGGCAGGGCCCAGATCTTCTTCTTTGTAGCCTCCTTCATATCCCAGGGCCTAGCTCAGGGTTTTGCTCATAGTAGGGGCTCAATTTGCTGAATGAAGACATTCTTATTCAATAATTGTGCAAGGGGGGCTGCACCCCATCGGCATATACCCCATGGGAAAGGTGCAACACCCAAACATTTTAATAAATACTCAACTTTCTTATTATCACCAATTAGGTGGGAAGGCAGAACGAGGGGAAACAACTAATCTTGGGGAGAGGAGGTAAAGATTATTCTTAAGAATCCAATAGAGGCTCCAAAAAGCAAACTGGTATTAGATTATAGTCTGGAAATAGAGGTGGCTTTAGGCAAAAAGACAATTTAACATTAACATTGTTTAATGAAGATACATACACAGAGAGTGGGAGAGATAGAAGGGAAGAGGAAGGAAGAGGGAAAGAGAGAGAAAGGAATAAAGAGAGGGAAGGAAAAGAGAGAGGGAAGAAAGGAATGAGGGGAGGGGGAGAGAGAGAGAGACATGGAGAGTGAGAGTGACAGAGAATGAGAATATGACCTAAGGTAAATCATTTTCCATCTCTGGGCCTTAGTCTTCTCGCCTTAAAATGAGGGGAGTAGGGAGACTGTGTGGTATCGTTAGACTTGGAGTCAGAGGGTCTGGGTTCAAATCTTGACACTGTCACTTATTAACTGTGTGCCACTGGGCAGGTCATTGGCCTTCACTGGGCTCCACTTTCCTTGGCTGTAAAATGAAGGGGTTGGATTCAATCAGTAGCACAAAGGTCGCTGTCGCCTTTAACCATCCACACAGTCACTTCCCTGCCCTCAAAATCAGTCCAACTGACAAGGTTTCCCCCACCCCCCCTTTCCCCCAATTAAAGCTTTTTAGGAAACTATTTCAGATCATCCTTTTTCAGTGGGAAGTACAGGGTGGCGAGGAAGGAGATAGACTTGATGAGAGAGAGAGAGAGAGAGAAGAGAGAGAGAGAGAGAGAGAGAGAGAGAGAGAGAGAGAGAGAGAGAGAGAGAAAGAGAGAGAGAGAGAACATGAACACACTATGGTTTCTTCCCCCTTCTGCAGAGGTCTTCCTCCATGCCTATCCTCAGGGAAAGCCAGCATTCAGCATTGACAATGCGCCCCCTGGTGGATATCAGGTTATTAACCCAGCTTCCCAGAGCAAATGGGAAACAGTCCACTGTCTGAACGGATTATCCAGAGAGCCCACTCAGGGCAGGCAGAATGTTAGAAATAGAATGGACCTGGTAGCCTTCCTAGTGTAACCTTCCTCTATTTGATAACGAGATAACTCCTGTCCAGAGAAACCAAGCCTAAGGTCACTTGGCTATCAGGATACAGTTAGCTGTATCCATGTGATCTATCACTAGTCCATCCCCTCATTTTCCAGTTAAGGAACCTAAGGTTTGCCTAGAGAGATGATGTGACTTGTCCAAGTCCACACATGGCCCAAATGGTAGAGTCAGGATTTGAATCCAAGTCTGCCCTCTGCCAGGGCTGGTGGAGAGTTGAGGTGGAAAGGGTGAGGGTAGAGGAAGGACACAGCAGAATGGAAACAGCTAAAACTTACATAGAATTGCAAAATTTGTCTGTTTATTATTAGCTATGCTACTTCAAGCAAGTCACTGGGTCTTAGTTTTCTCAGTGGTAAAGTAATGGCATTGGACCAGGTGATTTCTAAGATTGATTCCTTCTCCCTCTAAAGCAGGCTACCTGGTGAAGGCCAGCAAGGTACAAGGTTAAAAAGCTAAACCATTGGTCTGGTATTGAAGCTCTTGTCCTATGGAAAGAGGGTGTAAACATCCCCATTTGCCCCACATTGGAGACTTTATTTTGATATCAAAGATGACTCCTCTATGGGTTGTGATTATACTTCTCTCCAGGCCCACAGACATTGAGGGTGATGACTGAATCTGCCTGAACCTGGCCTTGGGAGCCTGTGGGAGAGCTAAGTTTTGGGGACTCAGAAACACGGACTCAAGCTCCTCAGAGGGAAGCCTGTGAGGACACCATGGTCAAAGAGATGGCAGGAGTGGAACGTGGGAGAATTCTGGTACTAAACCCACTGGAGAGAAGAAAGGGAACTCCCGGGCCATGAAGAGGAGACGCAGCCTGAGCAGGAGCCTAGCAGCAGAGCAGCAAGAGACAGGGCCATGGTATGGAAGGCCATGGCACAGAAGGACCGGGCCCTCTGTTAATACTGTGCTTCTATGGATAAGAGTAGATGACCAGAGAGGTTCCTGAGAAGGTGGGGGCTCACTGGAGGATGAGGGGTCAAGTTTCTCTGGACTCTAACCACTGGTCAGTAGTAGAAGTCTGTAGCACTACAAAGGGCCCTTATTTTAGAAACTCAGTGTTGTTCAGGACCCCCATTGCTACCTCCAGCCATTCTCTCTGGGGCTTTCTCAGCTTTGTCTACTCTGGCTTATAGAGGCATCTCTGAGTCGGGCTCAGGCATCAGACTAGCTATGAGTCTCAATGGGCTGGCTCAGTGTTCTCTCTAGAGCAAGAAAGACCAGTTCCAGGATGGAAGAGAGGCTCAAATGTGATGTCGATGTGGATGTTTATATAAGTCCATAAAGTTCAATGCCAGAAGGAGAGGCCTTGACCTTTAACATTATTGGCCTTGACCAGACAGACATCCTGGTCACACTCCCTGTAACCATTAGGGCAAATTAGGGTACTAATTTATTGCCTGAAATTCAGTTCATCCAGCTCTCCCATGGACTTTACTTTTATGTATAAATGATCTCTCAAAGCCACTAGTATAAGACAAAGAATTGGGAAGAAATCATCAGGGAAAAGTATCTGAGATGCCTTCTGGGCAAAATAGTGTAGTAAAGAGAGCCTCGGCCTTGGCATCAGGAGAAACCGAAATGTGAATCCTGCCCTGGACACATTGACTAGCTGAATGACCCTGGCCAAGTCACTTAACATTTCTAAGATTCTCTTCTCTAAAATGGGAATCTCAATCCTTGCCAGCAGGGTGTGTGGCGAGGATAAGCTGAAAGTGTACACATGCAGAAATACATTTCAACCTTAAAGAGAAGCAGGGACTGGTGCTGCCTTTCCCCAGCTCCAGCCGCTGGTTCCTGGTTGTTTCCCAGCTCCCTGACATGTTTGCCCTCTTGCTGCTATGGTAGGATGGAAAGTTTCAGGGGGATTAGCCACTCTCCGGTATTCTGGTGCCACTCACCCTCATCATTTGCATAGCTGCTAGAAAGCTGACTGTATTCAAGGCCCCCACAGTGAAAGCCCCCTGTTTCCTCACTAGGTGTTTACTCACTAGATGGCGCTATTGAGGTGGGTTTCCCCCCCATGCTACTTTTCTGCATGAAGACCCTCAATGGAAAGGTGTTCTATAATTACACAGAATTAGACAGTCTTACTGATCGTTTGAAAAGCCTTGGGGAGTTTCTGTTCCAAAGTCTTTTTAAACTTCACAAAACTTTGAGCTAGAGGCAGCCAAAATACTCGTTAGGGAAGTGGATAAAGGAGGAGCTTAATTACTCAATCCAGAGCTCCCAGGAGAGTCTGGAACCCATTTCACTCCAGGCCAGCTTGAAAGACTTCTCTGCCCCCACCTCAGAGGGGGCCAAGCAGAACAAATCTAACTAACCCTTCTTCCCCATGCCAATCCCTACAATACTTGAAGATGGTGATCACGTCCCTTCTCGACTTCCTTTTTCCAGGCTAAATATTCTCTCTGCCTTCAGTCAGTCTTCATATGATGTAGATGTAAGGCCCAGCACTCTCCTGGTTGTCCAAGATGTTCTTCAGCTTATCAAAATCTTTCTTA